CAATTACTTCATACTAGTTTATCTACTTATCTGTGATGCTGTTATTTTACATATAAATAATACTCCATAATTTTTTGCAAATCATAAGTATATTGATTACTGGTTGCCGTGTTTCTTGCGTTCAAATTCAGTGTTTATCAAGTGAAAAAAAATAATAGTAACTCATAATTAAATATGTTGCATATGAACAGTTCAAATTGTATAAATAAAGTACTTAACTTTTATGGTATAAAAATGTATGTGTATTCTTAGTTGTATTACTGGTAATATATCTCATACACAATCATTCATTTCAAATGCTACTTATCTACGTGTGTGTGTCATCACATTGTCCAATGATTGACTGAAACTTTTTACTCTGATGGAATCGGAACGATCAATATACAAACGTTTTACATTAGGATTAAGTGACATAATACCATGATTTATTTTTTGAAGAGATTTTCAATAAAAGATAGAGGAAGGGTCAAGTTTGAGTATATTCGTTTTTCTGACAAGCTTCAAAAACACCACATTTAGTTCCAGACATGATTTTCTTTCGAGTGCATTCATTGTGTCTGCATTGTTGACATATTGATATGTAAATGGAATAAAATACTGAGTAAAGTGGGATTCAGTCATCAACAAAATACAAATGAAATTTTAGAATAAAAAATGAAAAAGCATACTTAACATTTATGGAAAATCAAGATTAAATCCGAGTTTGGCATTGAAATTGATTTTGTTACATTTCATCTATAAGAATATCTCCAACTAAGAATTACAACTATTACACGGGTCAGAAAAACATCTAGTGTCAGTAATAAAAATATTAGTTACGAACTACTATTTTATTGTGGAGAACTAGCTTATAGGTTAAGACGTTCACCTTCTAATCACTAAGTTTCAAGTCTGAACTCTGCTCCACCTACTTCGTTTTGAGCAACCGGCTAGTATCATTAACTATTATACATAATGTAGCTCATACCCAAGTATTTAGCTATTGAGTTAATTTAAAATTTTATTGTTTGTATGTATTAATTAACAATGTAAAACACAAGCACACATTACAGAATAAAACCAAAAAAAAAGTGTTTCTATATAAAAACTCATCTCTTTAAACTGTGTATGTGTATTGACCTAATTAACCATCGAATATTGATGTCAAAATTCATGACAAAATATAAAGTTTTGATTTAATTTTTAGATGTTTGGTTATGTCATATGTCTATTTAGATTTTTCAATCGTATTCATATGTAAGGAATTTCATCATTTCAAAAGGAATGTTTAGTAAACACATTTATTATTATTTATTATTTGAACACATAAATATTGGTACAATAGGGCACCAAATATATATGCGCCACACAAAACAATGAGAATTTAAAGAAAAGGGGAAAAAAGGTAAGGAACTTATGGAATTAAAAAAAAGAGAACAATAACGACCAGATTAGTGTAAGGTAGTGTAGTAGTAGAAATAATGGGGGAAACGAAAAGCTACAATCAGAAGAAATCTTTCAGTTAAGGAAGAGGCAACCGCTTTTTATGGAGAAAGTAAAAGAAGGTTACAGCAGGATCTCCACTGGCTTCTATTCTGAGCCATATCTGATTACGTTTCTAGCCACTGTGTTACACCATCTCTCGGACCCCAGCCAGGGATTCGTGAAGGACCAACAGAAGCCAGCCTTTTACAGCTTTCTTTCATACCACGACACCATGTCATATACTGACCGCCTCTCCGCTTTTCCCAACCAGTCCCAGAGTCGGCAAATAATGCACGACGTGGAATTCTCTGGGACGACATTCGTAGAACATATCCAAGCCACCGAAGTCTGTCTTTCAAAATAGTGACACCAATGGCATTATCGTCTCTGTGTCCGAACGCACGATGCCAAACCTCTGCATTACTAACATGGTGTTGCCACTGGATGTCAACAAACACATTTATGTAGTTTGTGATAAATTATCCGTTATTACTCATTTAGTACATCTTGTATATTACCAATTATTAGTTAATGAACTTGTAACTGTTTTGTTATAAGTCCCATTCTACCTCCAATCTATTTCTTTCCAGTCTTCATGTAATTGTAGATACAAGTCTACTATTTGAACTTTTGCTCAATCGTATTCATTTTTATTAAATTATTATAATTTTTTGTTTTTCTTCGGGTGTTTGTATCCTTAGGAAATCGACTAATTTCTTAGATAATGAAATGCACTTGTCCTTTTAGGCTACTTTAGATTGGCTTTCCATTTTTGTCTCTCAAGTTATGTTCGTCGTACTGAGTTTTAAAAAAAGATTTAATGCTTTTTTGTATGCTTACACAAGCTTTTTTATATCTTCAGTCAGTCATCTACAACATAGGACCAGGCACATAAGTTCATCGGTTCAAGTTGAAATACCTCAATAGCATAGCAAGATAAACACCGAATTCATAGAAGTAGTTAATTCAGCAGTGGTAATATATAAGAGAGATTGCATATAAGGACTTAGTACAGAAAGAAAGAATTAGTTCATAGAAAGAAAAATATGAAATAGTTTTAATCTCATAGTTTAAGGGAAGACAGAGAGTGTATACATTTACGCCATTGTGACCGATTCTAAGCCATGTCACCAAGAGTCTCCAACCATTGGTTACGATAGTCACGCGGATCCCAAACAAGTATACTACATCTACCAACATAGCTCAGACCAGAAGTTAGTGACTTGGAGCACTGAGGCCACGTTTTGGTTTGGCTGTCCTTAACTTTCTTCCAATTATCCCTAACACCGGTTAGCATTGCGCGTTGTGGTAATCGGTGTTCAGGCATACTCAGATTTGTTCATTTCACGAAAATGATAATACTTGTTTTGAACACAAATTCACATTAATGTTTGAATACCCTTGATTGTTGTATTTGAATATATTCCATCTGAGGTTATCAGTAACATTTTTAATTAATGTATATTGTATCAATCACTTTCGGTCATTTTTACATTTATTTAGAGTGAATTATTAAATATTAAATAATGTGTACTTTTAATTAATGATTTCATTTCAAGTTATAACTTTCACTATATTGATTCTTGTCATCTCATATATTGGTCTGTACTACACTAACTTGTCAATAACAGACAGTGACAAATACGTAAAATGAAAACTTCAAATGATATTCTTACTAATGTAATTAAATTAAAGTATATTATAATCTTATATTATTATCTTATTGAGGTCAGTGTATAAATTGTTCCGAAATCTATCATGTTTACAAGTTTGTTTATTTTCCAAATGGATATTGATCAATATGTCGATATATTTCTATATAGATTCATATATGGTTGTACACTAATTTGCATTAATATTTATTATAATTTCTCACTGTATATAAACAAACATTGTTGTATTAAAGATAATATCTATCTTTAATTAAGTGACTATTATTTCAATCAAGGTTATTTACGAATAGTTAATAAAATGTCATAAAAGATGCATTGATTGTATGGAGTGGGATAGTTAAGGTATTCGACTTTTAATGATATTAAATGGTTGTAGAATAATTATCCAATATCAGTGATTGGAGAGACCGGGATTGTTCACAATTGGACAAAATGCTTTTACATTTTATCTTGTCTTAGATCCTCTGTTCTACTATTCCTTCATACTTGACTTTTCTTTCTGTTTTTTTTTTTCTAAACTATATCCTCAAAGTTTAGTCTTTCGCATTACCATTACAGCTATTTAAATTCCTTTTATGCTACTCCTTTTGTTAAATTCACTCTATTGTATTTTGACCATTTAGACTAATGTTTATAACTGACTTATTGACTAATCTACCGCTTTTCGTAGATATATTTAATGTTCTCACATAAACGCTTCGAGCTATGCACAATCTTTCATTAATATCGTAATTTCTTTTTTTTCTATGATTTAATATTTTGTATCATTATTAAAACGTTCAAGTTATTCTGTTGATATTTTCAATCGAGTTTTGATCAGTCGTTGTCGACATAGGTTCATCTGATGCGGATTGCTACTAACAGTGGAATACAAGACTTTGTTTTTGTCCTATTTTGGACCCGTCAATAAGATACACCTCTACCTCAATGTTGATGTTCACAACTAACTCGAATCTGTTGCCTTTCACTTTAAACTCCAAATATGATATACACTGAGCTACTGAGTTTAAATAGCCACTAATTTGTGTAATAGTTCTATGTTAAAATGATGACTGACCAACTCGCCGATATTAGAATTACGACTAAAACCCCACTTTAATCATTCTTGTTCATTCAGTTATATTGTATCATTAACTATCATATGTAATATGTGTATATGAGTTTGAAACAGATTATTGAATTACATTCAATCAATCATTTATTTATATTTTACATTTTTCTGCGTATGGGAATTTATCGTCTACTATTTGTTCATGTATAGTCCGAATAATTTGAAAATAGTAACTAGATTTGATTCTCCAAAAACTTTTAAAAGGATTGATTTATGTTAACAGTATGTTTTTATGCCAAACAATCTACTATCGTGATAAACGTTTCTTTGTCGTATGAGCAGTTGGAAACCCTCATGAAAGTTTTTAGCGGTGAAAATACATCTAATTAGCTTTCAGTAGAAATTTTTAAGTTTCTAGAAACCAACAGATTACTTATATCTCAATTGGATAATTACCGATTACAACTTCATCATCGACTGATTCTACTTTCATCCACTTAACATAAATCTCAGTGCACTCAGTTTCGAGTTACTGAGACTAGTTGCTATATTTCAACGTGATCGATATAATTCGACCAAAACCAAAAAAATACTAGACAAACATGGTATTGGCCATTACTTAATGACTCATCAATGTATATATTATGATTAGTTATCTAACGTGACTAGGGTTTTGTTGTAATACGTTTAACATATCGCTCAGGTGTAATTACCCAGTAAAAAAAAGCTGATTGTTTGTAGTATATTGAATTTATTCTATTTCAGTAATAAATAATCAGATTGTTTTCTTAAATCCTATCTTATTAATTTAGCGTTTCCCTACTAATGTACGAAAATATCAACTTGATCGAGTAATAGCCCGGTTTGATTTCGAGACAAAAGGTGCCGGTGAATTATCTTTACATCGTGGTGATGTTATCGAAGTGATTAATCGTAATGATGAAAATTGGTGGCGTGGTCGTACATCCGATGGACGGTGTGGCCTATTTCCATCAAATTTTGTAGATGATTTACCTTCAGTCATATAAATAAATTTTCAGAAAACTATTGCTTTAGAAACTAGTAAGTAACTAATCAATCAATCATTCACAAATGTTGCCTCGTTAACTTTCTTTTATACTTCAAAATCTTTCTCTCTGTGTGTGTGTGTGTGAGTGTTTGGACATAAGCATCCTTAATTTCTGTAAACATATACATGTAGCTGTCTTTTTCTCTCTTTTTATCTTACTGACAAGGATTTGACCTCGTTCAGCTTTGTATTGATATATTCTTTTCTAATAGCTATACATACATTTATCATGAAAAAGAAAGTATAAACGAACAACACGTGCATATAATTTACATAATAGAGCACAATAAACCTCTTTGTTTGTTTGTTTTATATACTATTCTTTGTCCAATTTCTTTGTGTTTTTTTTTCAAATATTGATTTATCTTCTTAAAATCTAACCGAAAATATAAGAAGAACAAATCAAGTAAATATTTACAAATAATAAAATGTTATTAGCACATCAAGTACTATGATAATTTACTTCAATAACATTTAATGTTTATTCGCTAGTTGTTTAGGCTTTTTATTTGCTTGTCGTAATTTATTATTATTATTATTATGAGATATTGAATTCGAATAATTACGTAATCAATGAACAATTTTCTGTCTTCTTAACTGAATGTATAAATTCTCTTATTGATGCTGTGTTCTGCCTTGATGTTCAATAGTAACAATTAGTCAAAACAGGATATTTCCCTTTTAGTTAATCCAACTATATATATATATATATATATATATATATATATATATATATATATATATATATATATATATATATATATATATATATAAACAGATGGATGTTGTCTGTGAAACTCGTCGTCCATTTTACTATCACTATTGCTATTTCTTTGCATCGCGTTGTTTGTTGTTTCTCTCCGAGTCTTTGTTATTTTCTTACTCATACTACATTATTATTATTATTATTATTATTACTATTATAGACATGCTTAACTGTGCAATACACCTTAATCAATCATCACGCATGTACGCACCATTCATCATCACACTTGCTGCCATTTTTGCCTATTTTGTGTTTCCTCTTTTTTTTCCTTTCTTTCACTAGTGTATATCTTCAGTGTCCTATTGTTTTATTTTGTTCCATTTTGTTGCCGTTGCCATTGTATGAGGTAACCGTTACCACTCATATTTTTTCCCCATGTACACTGATCAGTCCATATGGTTTGAGGCTGATTTTTTTTTTAAAAAAATTTCCGATTTACCATGTTTTGTTTTGCTTCTTGTGTTCATTCCGTTTATGGATTAATATATGAGCGTGGAACAGACGACTATGTGAATAACTACATTATCATATTATTATTATTATTATTATTATTATTATTATTATTATTATTATTATTATCAATAATAATTTACATTCTGATGTTATTAATGTTCAAGACTTTTTATAGTAGTGACTTGTGTTCATTAGCATTTTATTTCGTAGTTTGGTTCTATTGCTGACTATAGCTGTTATCTTCTATCAATTATTGAACTTGTCAAATCTAATCGTTTGTTTAAGTTATATTGGTTTAAATACTTCTACCTTGAAATTATACCACTCTGGTTAAGTTTTTTCACGGATGATCTAATCAAATAAAACAAATATAAATTTTAAATGCAAGGTTGTACTGCTCTTTGTTGTTTTGCATGTATAACCAATATTTGGCCACGTAAAAGAATGAATAAGGTAGTCGCCAAAATAGTACATCAATTCTACTCGCAAGTTTCTGGCGAAAAGACTTGGTAAGTTTTAAGTTGATTCTGCTAGGATAATTACTCACTAGAAGGTCGAATGTGACTCTCTTCTGATAGTTTTTTTTTCTTTTAAGTCATCGTTCACATTCTCGATTTCATGGAACCAACTTAGCGAGCACGAAATCTAGATTCAGGCATTCTTGCCCATAGCCTCCTATCAAGTAGCGTACTGACTAGTTTAAGCAGCGAATAATTGTTGCAAGGGATATCTGATACGACTTCTAGAGACCAGGATCTTGTTTTCCATAGTTCACATTTTCGGGTTACAGGTTTGAACTTTGTTCCATAGTGTCCCGCCAACAACACTGTGTTTTTAGTGATAATTTTAAAGAAACTATGTAGCTCCGTCGCACTACCTATTCATATGATTATTAAAATCAATTTACTATAAATGTATTTATTTCAAATGCTCTAATTTTCTTTTTTTGCTTCTATCATTTATTTGTATTTTTCAACTCTCTTACCAGATGCTCTATGCTGAAAGTCCTGCTCTGTATAAACGATATCAAGTCGGTTGAAATTTTAAATACCACCACTGAATACGGAATTTGATTCATTTTTTCTCAAACGACGTATACCATTCGGGTTAGACTCATTCAGCTTTCGCACAAAAATGCAGATCGGACATCAAATAGGGTTGGGTGATTTTGGAACGCCTTGACGTCGATGTTCGCCAAATATCCGAGACCCGTATTTAAGGCTTTGATGAAGTCATACAACTTCATCTGTCGATTCTAAAGGCTTGTCTTACTTGCACTTATCCGGAAACCCTCTGGCATCTCCGTCCGGTTTAACCATCATTGACGTCGTACCAAGCACCATAACAGAGACAGGACCGATCCATCTCATCCCCATCAACAGTCATTTATGTTGAGTTGAAAAGCTTCATTATGGTGAGGGGAACTTTGTTCGACAAACGATTTGTTTTTTTCATCTTTGCCTAATTCCCAACAGATTAGGGCCCTGATGCAATCGTGATTGAGCATCGCCATTAGTTAGATAATTTTTTCAAGAAAGATTTTTGGGCGGATATTTTAATGCTAGTCGGAGATTAGAATGCACAGATCGGGTGGCTTGGTTCATTTGGAAGTCACTCAGGTGACCAATTTGGTCTCGTTGGTCGCAGGTCAGAAAAAAGTGACAGTTTCCTGTAGCCTTTCTTAAACCACAACCTATATCTGGCCAGCGCCAACTTTCGGCACAGTCATCGGCATCCCCAGTCAGCAACTTGAACATAGATGTAGTTTCGAAGAAGACTGGTACACTTCTTGTAGTACCTATCTGGTCTCTGATCTTGGTACGGTTTGCGCCGAGCTTATCTTGCAGTTTAGTGGCCTGAAAACATCGATGATATTCTGGGAACAAGCTGATGAAAGTAGGTGTGATAGTGTAGATTTATTACACCGGAAAAAATTTCAGTCTACAGCAAACAGATAATTCTATCTTACACTGCTATGCAATCCTCTCTTAATCACTTTCTGTATGTACGGCATGTACTTTGCACCTTCTGAATGCAGAGATCTTTTACAAGACTAGTAGAAGCCTAGGCGTACACACTCCTAGTGGTAAGCCGTTAGAAGTAGCAGGAAAGTTGGTGTATCTGAATAGCTTTGTGAGTGGTGGCGTGACTGATTTGATCGATTTACGTATATTGGAAGCCAGATTAGCCTATTTACGTCTTTAGCGCCTTTGTGTTTGATTGTGAAAGTTCGGATTTACAACTTCACAGTGAGAACATTTATTCTCTTGAAACCTTTCTTCTTCATGTTGAGGATGTTTGATCATAGTTATCTCTAAAGGTTTACTGACATTCAGTGCAATACCATATTCGTAGTGCAAAGGTTTGGCTATGCTTTTTTAGTGACCAACAATTACCTTATTGGTCCCACTACCTTTAAACACCAGCTTAAGCCGATTGGTTATTTGTGACGAATGTAATCTCAGTGTCTTCCATGTTGCACAATAATTCCCAACACTAGGGTTGTATGGAAACAGCAAAGAGCTACTTGTTCCATGAATTTGTGTCGTATTATGAAGAAAATCCATTTAGGACTAGCATATGTCATCCGATCACTCCCTTTCTGTGATATAATTCACTGGTTCGAGATTTTATTAGACATAGCTCAGACCAGAAAGCATTGAAAATCCTTCCATAGTTTATTTTTTCGCATTCTTTGTAAAAGTTGTATTTCTCTTAAATAAATTATTTTTCTAATCACTAGTATTCTACTCTAATTCATTTCTGATTATATTTCGATTGTATTCACCCTTTTACGTCCATCTCTTTACAATTTCATTGCCTTATTTATGTGGTTTATCTGCTCTTTGATGCCCAGTTATTCTAGTGTTCATATATATCAAATAAATAAATATTAGAATATGTAATTAAATCAAAATGTATCATCTACTATTTCATCATCGACTAATTAATCTAGGTAGTTTTGATATATGTTGAGAAACAAAATATTCATTTGACTAGCATAATTTATTAATAGCAATAATTTACTATATAACTTACGTGAACCATTTGAAATGTAACGGATATGGGTTTTTTTTTAATAACAAATTGTTACATGTAGTTTGAATAAAAATCATTCAAACAGATTACTTGGTAACAATAAAACATTTTTTTCAGTGAATTAGACTTTAAACCATTTGTCGAAATATGAAACTGAAGTGTTGTACAAAAATATTTTGATCCATCCGTTTATATGTTATATGTTCATTAATACGATATATTAACTTTGAACAGTAAGTACTGTCATCTTAGTCAACATTTAGAATAATACTGTTCCGTAAATTTTGAAGATCTAGCAAATAAAAAGATGGTAATACAAGTGAAGCTTCACTTCTGTTATATTCGGAAGGTTGTTTTCTTGATATACCGCGTATAACTAAGCACTAGAACGCTAAAACCCTTCCAAGTCGCAAGGAGAAGACAGAAGACTAATGAAAGGAATATTATTCCAAACAGTGTCAATTGTGGTACAAAATTGTCAGGTATTTATAGTTTTTATTAAGAACGAGATCATCATTACAGTCCTCCAATCCGCATACAGGGGGTTACAAGCATTTGTCCAATCGGGAAGCTACACGTGAGAATTCTAGAATATTCTTTCAAAAGATGATTAGATGGAATATCTTCGGTTCCTTCTGAGCCACTTACAGCTTCCTCGAGTTCACCCGTGGTCCGTCGTCACATTCTGTAAGGTTTATTTGACATTCTTTCTTCGAAAGCCACGAAGCGTGAGGCTTGGAGACGTGTTTATAGAGATCTAGGTTTCTGTAGCCAATATAATGTACTCCATGAGGGCAATTAAACTTGTAAAAATAGGTTGATACTGACCAAGTAAGTAGTATATTGCTTATACATCCACAAATGATAGGACGACAGGAGAATTTTAGCAGCATGAAATGCCTTTTGAAAGATTTCGTCAGCATATTTTTAAATAATCATGATTAACTATGATTTTCAGCAAATGTTTTGGTGGAAAGACTCAAACAGAATTGGATTATGGTCCTTCTCTGCCATTATTTAACTGAAGTTAGAAATGT